TGTGGACGATATTAACCTTGATGGAGCATCTAATAAGAGTAAATTTAAGCACACAACAAGATTTTCATGTAATAAAAAAATTATATTTTCATGTAACATTTATACTTTCTTATGTAAAAATCTTATGTATTGATAATGCATTTGTTCCGATAATAATAGTCGGTGGCACCATCATGTCAATCATTGTCGTTTGGGCCCTTGGTTGTACAAAAAGACAATGTGCTACATGATCCTAATTTTTTTTGTCTAGGCTATAGGAGCTCATAGGACAATGACCACACACTAGACATAGAGGCTTTTTTTCTTTTTTATTGGGAAAGTCCGTAGACTTAGAAATTGAACATAAAAAAGTGAAATCAATTATTTATATAATGAGGTCCATGAAATCAATTTCAATCATTAAATATGTTTTGTAGACATTTTTTTGAAGTGATACTATGCTGCTGCTAATAACCAGATTGTATATATTCATGCAGAGTTCAACTTTTGTATGCACTCTCTTTTAAAAGAGTGTCATTATGTTGGAGAAAATATCAATTCTCATCGCATTTTTTTATTATATATTTTTATACATTTTTAGCTTAATGATCACTTATGCAAGTTTAATATTTTCATGGGAGAAATGATCTCGTAGGCCAGTAAACGAAAAAGAGAAGGATGATTCCAAAAGATTGACCACTAAGATGAGCAACTTCTTTGGTTGATATGGATTGAGTTTTTTGCAATACCATCTATAAATATGCAATAATGGCTGCAACAACTCATGTGATGTACCGTGAAACATTGAACAAGAGAGAATTTTGAGCCTGAACTCATGTGACCACACAGAAGACAGAGACATATAGACTCTCTTCTCACAACACTAATATTATCGGGTGACATAATTTATCTCGTATTCTAAATTAATTATACCAAAAATCTAACAGGCGAAAGATTCACATTTGTTAGATAGTTGAGAGGTAAATGATGAATGCTAGTTGATCGATGGGGGAGAGAGAGAGAAGAACCTAAGTAGTTGATAAAGTACATAGACAGGAAGAGATTAAGATTAAAAATGGAAGATACATTAATTAAGCGCAGAACCATCAAATTGTTTCATGAGATTAGTGGCTTCAGCTTTGTTTACATGTACCATAAGATTATATATGTATATATATATATATATATATATTTTATACTTACTTTTTATATAAATATAAACAACACACATTAACAAAATATTTGTTAAGAATGATAATTACGTTTGGAAGTTCAAATTCACCAGGGATGGAGTGGTTCTACTTATACATAATAATTTTTTTATAATAAAACTTATTGTGTGTAAATAGAAACCCTCCAATGTAGAGCACAATTTAGTATTGGTTCACAACAATTTTTTTTAATGATTTTAATTTCTTTATTTTAAATCATCTAATCAAAGACAGACCTTAAAAATAAAATAAGCTACATACCAGCTGAATAATTAATCTATGATTGCAAGTAGTTTCTAGACCAGCTCGGGATAGGATCCGTTAAACATACTTACAAGGAGGGAAAAGTATGCAAATCTCCGTGTAAACGAAAGCTTCAAATATAACGAAGCACTAACTATTTTTTTAACTTTGTCTAATTAATTTTGTTTGGAAATATATTATTTTAATATTTTTTTAATTTTTTATGAAAAGATAGAAAAAAATAAAAAGAACGACATGATAATTTATAATAATTTTTTAATTTTTTAATTAAAATTAAAAATTATCAAACGAGACTATTTCTTTACTTATTTCATAAAATGCTAGGGTGACTTCTACTATGTATTGCTTTAAATTTTTTTTCCAATAATATGCTTTAAAAAAAAGAAAAAAAAGAAAAGAAAAGAAAAGGGTGACCATTTACCTTAATATGTTTCAACTGTCACTTCCCATGAAAAAGTAGATTCCAAAATAAAGCTCGAGAGTTTGGTCTACCACGCATTACCACTTTTGCAAAAGCTTTTGTTTGGGATGTGAATTAGGTTTTTTGATTTTTTAATTATTTTAGTTAAGGATTAAAAAAATTTATTTTGAATAAGTTTTTTTATTTTTTTAAGTTTTGTGAAAGAAAAAATAAAATAGTTATGATTTGGATGTGATATTTTATTTTATTGACTTTTTAGTCTATTTTATTTTTTTGTAACTATTTTAGTCCGAAAGCTATATGCCAAACAAAGCTCAAAGGGCAAAAATATTGCTTTACTTTAGGATTATGCAAAATACCGCCCAATTTACTAAAATCGTATCGATCTGCATTAATCTGCACTGCTTTAACCGCTAATCGTGGTTTAAATTTTAAATTTTATAATCCACCAATCGAACTGTTCCGCTTCACTATAGTTTTTTTTTTTTTTTTTATCAGCAAAAGAATTTTATTGAATAAGAATCAAGGATAAATCCTTACATCAAACATCAATAAAGAACAAAACCTAGTAGGTGCTATAAGCATCAGAGTGAAGGCCATTTATCCTAAGGGTGGGCGCGGGTTGGTTGCGGCCACGAAACTTTCAATCCGTCATTCGTCTACCAGATTGACGAATTGGATTTTTTTTTTTTTATCAGCAAGAGAATTTTATTGAATAAGAATCAAAGATAAATCCTTACATCAAACATCAATAAAGAACAAAACCTAGTAGGTGCTATAAGCATCAGAGTGAAGGCCATTTATCCTAAGGGTGGGCGCGGGTTGGTTGCGGCCACGAAACTTTCAATCCGTCATTCGTCTACCAGATTGACGAATTGGAGAAAATCAATCCACATTCGTCCGCCAATTTGGCGGATGTGGATCAAGCGGATTGGGAGATATATGCGAATCGGTTTGACGGTTTAAAATTTTATAAATTTTCAATATAATTCAACTTATGCACTTCCTCAAAAAAAAAAAATAAATAAAATATTACAGTCACTGCATGTCTCATTCAAATAAAGAAAGTTTGAAACTTTAGAATATTACAATCGCTGTATGTCTCATCCATATATTACAATCACAGCATGCCTTATCTATATAAAGTATTACAATTTGTGATTCTTAAATTATAAAAATAATTCAAACCATCAAAACCATGAACAGAGCAGTAGTAAAGACTGTATGCCTTTATTGTATTGTTCAATCTATATCTGTTTTTGAAAATAAAAACCAACCAACATATATCATCTTTTTTATTTATTATTTTTAGAGTTAGATGTAAAAATCAAAAAATATAGATAAATAATACATTTATTTATTTTTAATTCAAAAAATATATTCAAGTGAAAAACTATTTTTCAATAGAATACATTCGACAGAATATTTAAACTCTTTTTCAATTGAAAACACAAAGACTTACAAATTATTAGGGGTGGTTGGGGTTTGGCAGTTTAGTTGTGGCCAAAAGAATCTCAAATCCACCATCCGTCCAAAACTAGGTGGATTGGAAAAAATCAATCTGCAACCGTTCGTTCGTCATCACGCATCCGTCCAAAATATGACAGATTGACTCGGTTCGGTCAGTTTGAGCAGATTAGTATATCCGCTGCTCACCCCTAATTTATCTCAACTAGGTTGGCACAAAAGGACTCACCCAATCATATGCAACACCTACAGAACAAGGCTGAAGAGAGATCAACCAAACATAAACAAAACAACAACTACCAACACCCAAAACACAGAAACCTAACCAGCTAGCTACCCCTTATAACTTTGATACTAAACACCAAGCCAAAAACAGAGTAACTCACCTCTTTGACATAATATTTAACCCATAAGGCTATATGCAATAATATCGATTCACACAAATCTTTCTAATTAATACCAAGACTAGCAAACTTGTACCCATTTCTAGTCTTCCATAAATTCCATGTCACAGCAGCTGGAATTGCACCCCAAATACTCTTTTCCAACTTTTTGAATTTGAATCCATCCCACCACTCCAACAAATGACTTACAGATTGAGGAACCAGCCAAAAAATACCCCACCATGACAAAATCTCTGTCCAGATTTTCCAAGCAAAACTGCAATGAAGGAGCACATGGTTCACATCTTCATCACAAGAATTACAGAAAATGCAATATCAATATAAAATGAGTGTGAGAGAGATTTAAGATATGAAATTTGTTACAAATTAGTGGTTATATATATGAAATATGTTATGTAAAATTACTTTGTATTATATATCTCAAAAAAAATTATACAAATTAGTGTTATATATTATGCAAATGTATAATAATTAGTTAGAATATTTTTCAATTTGCCAATCCGCCAAAAATCGTCCAAACCGCAATTTGTCAATTCATTAATCCGCTAACCCATCATTCGATTTGTAATTTTACTCTCAAACCATCTGAACCGCACCGCGCACACCCTTACCCTAAGCTGCATATAATTTTTTAGGACAATTAAAAAAAAAATTGAATTTGATTTATGTAATAAAATAAATTTTTAATTTTTAATTTTATCAATTTAAATTTAATATTAGTATTTATTTTAAATCTAAATTATTTGCCCATTTTCTTTAACTAAATCTGATGAAAAAAATAATATTTTAATAATTAAACTCAATGTAAAAATATCTAAAATATTTATGTTCATTTGGTTTACTGATTAAAATATTTGTTTTTTTAGTCATTTTCATTTTCCTATTTGACTAAATAGATATTTTTTTCATTTGCCTATTTGAAAATAAGTATTTTAGATATTTTAGCCATATCTTGAGTTCAATGATCAAAATACTATTTTTTTATCGATTTTAATTAATGAAAACAGATAAATAATTTAAATTAAAAATAAATTAAAATATTAATATTTAAATTAACAAAATTAAAATTTTATTACAAGGTCAAATCTTGAGTGTGTTTTTTTTATTATTTTAAATTTATTTATCAATAATCCACACATTGCAAGATGAACAAAAGTGGATGAAAGAAAAAGTCAAACAAAATGTCATTGAGCCCAAATAAATTAAATAGTAGAATCCAGTCCAAACTAGCCGTTGGCCCGTAATCCATGCTGAAATTTTTGTTTCCCTCTCCTCCACTTTTGGGTTCTTCTGAAAAATCGAACGTTACACACCCACCTAGTTACTCCTTGACTCAGATACACATTACAACACAACGTTTCTCTCTCTCTCTCTCTCTCTCTCTCTCCTCTGTTGTATCTACTAGTATAGTCCGCTGTTTGGGATAATCATTGTTCATTATCCACAAGTTTAGGTTTTGGATTGAGGTTTCAATGGCTGCTCAGGACTCAGATTGCTTTACCCAATTTGTTTCGGAAACACTCGAGACAGATTCACTTGGGGGTGAAGCTAAAAGTGTCGAAATTGGACTCAGACAGAGCGAAGCTGAACTGGGTTCGGGGAAGAAGATGAAGATGAGGGCTGAAATCGACACGTCAGCGCCTTTCGAGTCTGTGAAGGAGGCAGCGAGTCGATTCGGTGGAATCGGTTTCTGGAAACCCAATTCCCACAAGCCCTCTGAATCTTCTAAGGTCTGCTCTCTCTCTCTCTCTCTCTCTCCAAACAAAGTTTATTAATGTTTTTGCTTTAGAATTTTATTTTAACCTGTTATTCTTTAGGTTTTGGATTGAGGTTTCAATGGCTGCTCAGGACTCAGATTGCTTTACCCAATTTGTTTCGGAAACACTAGAGACAGATTCACTTGGGGGTGAAGCTGAAAGTGTCGAAATTGGACTCAGACAGAGCGAAGCTGAACTGGGTTCGGGGAAGAAGATGAAGATGAGGGCTGAAATCGACACGTCAGCGCCTTTCGAGTCTGTGAAGGAGGCAGCGAGTCGATTCGGTGGAATCGGTTTCTGGAAACCCAATTCCCATAAGCCCTCTGAATCTTCTGAGGTGTGCTCTCTCTCTCTCTCCAAGCAAAGTTTATTAATGTTTTTGCTTTAGAATTTTATTTTAACCTGTTATTCTTTAGTTATTTTTTGATAAATCATACAATGTATGAATTTTTAATTTTATTACGATTTCAGCTTCTTTTTTGTTTACTGGCATTGACATTGTCATTCTGTCTCTCTTTTGGTTTTTGAAGCTAATTGTTAATTGTTCTTCTTCAAAGGTGTTTCATATTATTACTTCTTACTTAACCCATGATCCCAATTTGCTTTGAAAAATATAGTTTAGAGCTATATTCATGTTATGCCTTCATTTGCAAAAGTATATGGTTCTCATTTTGTTTCTTTTTTTCTTTCCATTCATAGTTTCAATTTGCAGTCAAGAGCAGTAGTCTCCATTTAAATGGGGTCATCATAAATCTCATATTTGGCATCCATTTATTCAGTTTATGTACCTCAGGATTAACCATCTTTTTCCACCATGAATGGGGACTATGGTTGTAGTCATAGAGTGCATTACCTAGGAATAGGATCATCCGTAGTTGGGGGACCTATTTGAGCTCGGTACCTATTACAACTACCGGCAGGTGTGGGATACCCAACAACAATATGATTAGTTTAGTTAAACAAGTTTTGCTTCTTTTTTTTTCCAACCAAACCCTTGCTATTTGAAATAGATTTCCAAAAGCAAGTTTTTTTAAACTTATATGTCGCAAAACTCAATACATGACTTAAAAGAACAACCTAGGTTTGGTAAATAAGTTCAAAACAACTTTTATTTGAGAATTTTTTTAGACACGGCATGGGTTTGGTACACTGGTTTGGCCTCCTTCAAAAAAGTCAAAAAGTCAAAAAGTCACTATCCTATATAAATCACATCATCTTATTTAAATTAAGTCACATCACCTCTCTACCACATCACTTCAAACCCAATTCATACCCAACTCATATTTCATAAAAAGTCAAAAAGTGCACTTATTTATATCATCCCAAACCACCCTAAACACCTCACAACCAGTCTAGTTTCTACTTTAGAGCTGCATTGCACACATTTTAAAGTTGATACCTTTTTCCCTTTTTATGGGTAATGTGGTTTTGATCGTCTTAATACACAATAGCATAGATATAGTTATATTACACTTATCTAGTTTTAATATGTTTCACAGATTCTCTCCACCTAGGAAAAAAAGAGCATAAATTTGAGATGAATAGTAAATCAAGTGTTCTGATTTCTTGATTCATACCTAGAAAGCTATCTATCTTGGCATTATTTGATGTTAAGGATTATGAAGATCCTCAAAATTTTGCTGCATTTCTTCTAAATTATGGTTTCTCTTCAATTTTTTGGAGAGCCATTTATCTTAAAGTCTTGTTGTCCATCTTAATTCAATGTGAGGATCATGTTTTTTCTTATGATTTTGCTTTCAGTTGAAATGGAAACACAGTCTAAACCACTTTAAGCAAAATCTGTTTGTGATTTCTATTGAGATTTTTATTTATTTTTTGGGGGTATGGAAGTCTGAAAGATCAGTTAAATACAATTACAAGGCTGGATTCTGGTAAATTTTCTTTAACTTATTTATTTATTTTTTACAATATTTGATTTGTTGAGGAGTTTCCATTAATGGCAGCATGGCATTGAAGTGGTTGACATCGCAAAAGTGGAGGGACAGGCTGCACAGTTGGAGAAAGATCTGGTTGCAAAAGAAAAGGAAACACTCGATGTCTTGAAAGAACTGGAAACAACTAAAACAATTGTACAAGAACTGAAACTAAAGCTACAGAAAGAAACATCTGAAATCAACGCAGCCTCTGATGCAAATTTCGAAGATAGGAATGCAAATTCAGTTCCGGAATTCATCTTAATGGAATTGAAACAAGCCAAGTTGAATCTCAGCAGAACCACGAATGATCTTGCTGATATTCGAGGTACTGTTGAATCATTTAACGAGAAAATAGAGAAGGAAAGAATTTCGCTTGAGAAGACCTGTGAGAGGTTATCTTTAAATTCCTCAAAAATGTCAACACTCGAGGAAGAACTAAACAAAACAAGACTGAAGCTACAACAGGCCCAAGATAATCCCATTGATATAACACGAGAGCTTCAATGGTTGAGTAATGAGGCAGAGCAGTACAAGAGAATGGGTGAATCAGCAAAATCAGAAGTTCTGAGAGCAATGTCGGAGATTGAACAGACAAAAACTAGGATTAAAACCGCTGAGATCAGCAAAATCAGAAGTTCTGAGAGCAATGTCGGAGATTGAACAGACAAAAACTAGGATTAAAACCGCTGAGATCAGATTGGTTGCAGCCAAGAAAATGAAGGAAGCGGCTAGAGCCACTGAAGCTGTTGCTCATGCCGAGATCAAGGCCCTATCAAGCAGTGAGGCTAAAGGAGTTACCCTTTCGTTCGAGGAATACACATCTCTAACTACAAAAGCCCGAGATGCTGAGGAAGCTTCTAAGAGGAGAGTAGTAGATACCATGCTTCAAGTTGATGCAGCAACAAACGTTTCAAAAATGGAGATTTTGAAGAGGGTAGAAGAAGCAACGGAGGAAGTCAAAACATGTAAGGTGGTCTTTGAAGAAGCTATGAATAGAGTAGATGCTGCAAATAGAGCAAAGTTGGAGGCTGAAGAGGCGCTGCGAAAATGGAGATCTGAACACGGTCAAAAAAGACGTTCCATACAGAACTCTACCAAGTTCAAGAATTCTTACCCATCTCACCATCGAAAAGAACCTTGTGTTATTGATGTGAATGGGTTGAATCTGGTAAATGATGAGCCAAAGCTGGTTTTGAGGTCATCACTGTCTATAGGGCAAATACTGAGCAGGAAACTGCTTCTAAAAGAAGAATTTGAGAATGGGACGAGGGCGGGAAAAGGTGCTGTGAAGCGGAAGATTTCACTCGGTCAAATGCTTAGTAGGTCTAATGGTGATACGCCCTCTACGCAGAAGAGCGATGAGAGGGAAAGTGGCCACAAACAGCTGCCTGCAAAGAGAAAGAAGTTTGGATTTGCTCGGTTCTCAGTCCTCATCAACAAAAAGCAAAGTAAGAAAAAGAAGAAGCAAATTCCTCATCAAAAAACAAAGTAAGAAAAGGAAGCAAATTCCTCCTAATTCAAGGTGCCACGGTTGCTTCAGATCAAGAACTGCCTTTTCTTGTCATCTTTAATTGTCATGTTCTTGTTATTATTAGGCCCTAAACCTCTTTCGGTGTGTCGCTAGTTTAATGTTTATGTCTTCTTAATTAGGTGCCTAATCCATTGTTTATGGATTGTATTTTCTCTCTTTTGTGGTGGTTCAAATGATGAAAGTGAAATTTCACTATTACAACCTTCACTGAGAATGTGGTGTATGCTTAAAACATTGTCTCGATGATATATTTCTCTTTTGGCAGGGAGTAATTCTAAGTGCACAAATGATTTTTACAGAATGGGACATAAATGTGAAACAACCTGTGTCTCATGTCTGTGTCATATTCTATGAATATTTTTTGTTTTTCTAACAGAGCTGTTTTTGGCAATTTGTATAGTCATTTATGCCAAATCATCCAATAATCTGTCAATTATTTTCAGCAGTTTCTTTCTGGCTCTTTCTTTCATGTACTGTGAATGGGGAAGTTTATCTGTCGCTTCTTTCCCAGCTCCTTCATATAATAATTCAGATTAATATTTTTGCGAAAGAAAATGAGTGAGACTCTCAATTTTGGGGATTGTCACGACCCTCAAAATGATCTAGGCCACTCAAATGTTGTTTTTTTTTTTTTTTTTCCTATCTCTCTCACATGACTGGTTCATATAATTTGGGGGGTGAACGTGAGTGGAGCAGACTATTTAGGGACGGACCTCACTGCCCACTGGGCTGCGTTTTAGACATTTTAAAAGAGAGGAGGGTTGTGTCTGGCAAAAAAAATTTAAAATATTTTTTTGTTCTTAGTAGTAAAAAATAGAAAAACAAAATTTCAAATTTACTTGGTTTGTTGTTCAAAAAAACTAATCTTAAAATAACTTATGCCGAGATAAGAATTTTATCGAAAAGTGGCTAACCTAAAATACTTTATCCTGAGATAACTTGTCATATCTTATCCTGTTCACAACCCAAACATGACCCTTGAATTTTTCTTCAATTTATTATTATTTTTTGAAAGAAACATTGTGAAAGAAAAACATAATCAATCAATAGTGATAAACAACAATGAGCTTTTGTTTTGCTTTCCAAATTTGACCTTGCTTTCTTCTTAAGCTAATCCTCAAAACACACTCATTAGTGTATGCTATCTGACAACAAAAAATTAATAAAATTGACATAAATTCTATGTCCACTATTATTTATTTATTTATTTGTTATAGGGAAATCCTCCCACCCTCCCGTAGGTCCAAGACAGCGCCCCATAAGGAGATCACCAAAGTGTCCTGTTGTCCATTCCGTCCTGTTGTCCATTCCGTGTAAGAGACTATAACCTGGAAGCTTGTCCCGACCTCCCAAGGCAAGCTTCGATTAAGTCAGGACTCGCACAGCGGGGAAGCATTAAACCCACACCAAGTAGCTGATTAGGCATCCTTGAGGTCCAACCTCCTAACAGCTGGGGAGTATTAAACCCACACCAAGTAGCTGGTTAGGCATCCTTGAGTCCTAACAGCGGGGGAGTATTAAACCCACACCACCTTGAGTCCTAACAGCGGGGGAGTATTAAACCCACACCAAGTAGCTGGTTAGGCATCCTTGAGATCTAACCTCCTAACCAACAGTGTTTCGCCCAGGAGATTGGCCCAATGGGAGAATTGAACTTGTGACCTTGGGACTTAAACCCCAAGGCCTTACCACAATGCCATAACCCCTTGGATTATCCACTATTATTTTAATCTTTAATCTCTTTAACATTCTGTTTACGGTTTCAAAATATTCTCATCTCAATAGAAAAAGTATCTAATATTCTCTTTTTCATTTGATAACTTTTAATATTCTTATATGAAATATGAAAAGTTCTATTTAAGAGGTCTTATATATAATGAGTGTGTACTACAGATTAAAAATTATTGGATAAATTATGCAAATGGTCTCTGTAATTTACCTGTTTTATCATTTTGATCCCTATTGTTTTAATTTGATCAATTTTGCCCCTGAATTTTATGGATTGTGTCATATTGGTCCAATAAATAACGGCGGTTAAGTTTGATGGACGGAAATTGAATGATGTGTCAATTTGGTCCCGATGGTTTATAGGAAAGTCAAAACGACATGGACCAAATGGACACATCATGGAAACTATAAGGATCAAATTGACACATCACTTAATTTTCCGTCCATCATACTTAACTGCCGTTATTTATTAGATTAATATGATACAATCCATAAAATTCAGGGGCAAAATTGATCAAATTAGAACACAGAGACCAAAATGATAAAACGGGTAAACTACAGGGACTACTGCTGTAATTTGTCCAAAATTCTTTATAAATCATATTTGAAAGACTTATTTAATGTGAAATTTTATGAATATTCTTTCAGAGTTTGAAATCCTATTTAAATAGAAATGTGTTCCATAAGGTCTTATGAGTTGTAAATTGATGATATTAGTATACTATTATACTCCTAATTTGTTTTCATATTGTTCCTTATTTTCTCATTTATCATATCATGTTTGGGAAGACTTTTAGAAAAGATAAGTCTACAAGCAACGAACGTGCGAGTTTTTTTTGCCTTGATCGCAAGATTCTAGTGCATTTTCAAAATATTGCTTAAATGGATGTAGATATGGTTGATGATATGATAGAGTTTGAGGGTTGCGTGTTGATTCCTTCGCCAGATTTCGACTCCAATCGGTTGAACGGAAGAGGTATACTTTCTTCTTCTTCTTTTTTGTTGAAGTGTAGATTGTTCATCTTTAATAAGGCATTGACAATTTATTACATTCATTGATTGGCACACTTTAGCCAATGTTCTAATTGAATGTGTGTATTTGACATTGTGATGGTTGATTCGTTTTAATATGTTCGATGTGTGGGGTGGTGTGCATGGGTTAGAGGGTTGGGTTAGGTTAGGAGTATTTGGTTTGGGTTGTTAATTAGATATCGAATGTGAACGACGTCGTAGGATGGCAATTGTACATTGAGATATGGATGATCGTGTTATAATGCATGTTACATTTAGTGTGTGATGTTAATCCACATATACCATGTAGTAAATGACATTTGTGTGTTTGTTCAATTATATATGTGTTTGAATGTGTATCATATCTTTGTTGTAGTCGATGTTTATATGCATGTCACAGTACATTGAGTAAAATTATTAGGGATTTGGATTTGTAATTGAATGTAGATTGAATCTCATTGCTCGATGTTGAAATTACGCTGGATTGGGAGTGATGGTGGTTCAATACATGGGTTGAATTAGGATGTTACATGTTACATTTAAGAGGTTACATTATTTATAATTCAACGATAGAGTATTGGAATGTCACATTGGGTTTGAGATGAGAAGCATATGGGAATGTCACGGTGGGTTTGAGATGTTACATCTTATATTTACGCTGGGTTTGGAATGAGAAGTATATGAGAATGTCACGTTGAGTTTAGGAATGTCACATTGGGTTTGGAATGTTACATGTTACGTTTATGTTTTGAATTTCAAATTTCCAACCATATATATATATTACTACAATTTATGGTAATATTGGATTTCTCAGGTATAATATTGCCGTTAATCAAGTTATTTTGAATTTCAGAAGCATATTGAAATATCACGTTGGGTTTGGGAATGTTACATTGAGTTTGGGATATTACATGTTACATTTACGTTTTGAATTTCAAATTTTCAAACATACAGATATGACCACAATTTATGGTAATATTGAATTTTTCATATATGGTATTACTATTAATTAGGTTATTTTGAATTTCAAATTTCTAACCATATAGATATAATCACAATCTATAGTAACATTGAATTTCCTATATATGGTATGGTCATTAACTAAGTTATTTTGAATTTTAAATTTCTAACTGTATAAATATGATCACAATTTATGATACACATTAAAATTTTCATATATAATATTATTATTAATCAAATTATTAATTAATTAAGATTGGGTGTACATGTATCCACGAGAAAATCACAGGACCAATAAATAAATTTTTTCATTATATAAGTTTTCCAAATGTTACCCATTAATGTTTGTGAATTAAATTTTGAATAAGGTTTTAGGGTACAGCAATGCTAGGTATCATGAAAAAACGTTCATGAAAATAGTCATGAAAGATTTGTGACCTTTGGATTACACTTACAATAAAGTACCACACACTAATCAAGGTAATTTAAAGGTCACAAAATTTTCGTGATCATTTTCATGACAAAATTTTCATGAGCTCTAACATTTCTCTTTAGCGTATGTGGTATTACTGTTCTTATATTTTGGTAATCAGTGGACAGGATCAAAACTTATGTGGGTGTCCTTTTTCAAAGTTGTTATCTAACATTCCAAATGGAACCAAAATGACAACAACCATTCAACCCAAGAACCCTTTACTTGTAAGGAAGGGAAGAATCAATACCTATCCATCTTTTTCTTTCCCTTCTGAGACAATCCACATTGACTCCCATGGCGTTCCCCAGAACTTCTGCAAAAGGTATGGTTTTGGATTTTGAATTCTAGGGTTTCATTCTTGTATTTAGTCTCTATATTTCTATTGTGTTTGGGTTCTTATATATGGCCTTAAATCTATTTAGGTATGTATGTATGATTGGAACTTAAACCTTCAATTTGTTTATTGTGGGTTTACTAGTTTATTATCTTCAGTGGCATTGCTGGTTGAAAATTTGTGCAGGTTTTGCTCTGATTTTTGTGGGTTAATTAATTAATTAATTTACTTATTTTTCGCACGGATATTAGCAAGTTAACAAGCTATGGTAGCAAAATCGGACATTCAACGCTTCTCTATGAGCTTGAATTCCAAACCTCTTTCTAGAAATTTAGAGATACAACCACCTGAGGTACGCTAATGTTCTTTGTGGGTTAATTTGATAGAGCCATAGATTTGATTATTACTAGGTTGTCAACTAAATATGGGATTAGAGAACTTAGCTAATCATATGGGTTTTAAATTTCTGAGGTAAATCTTCAAACTAGTCCTTGCATTACACTCTGAGGGCATACTGATTACGATGTTGGAGTATACACTGGGGTTGGGTCCATATTAATAATCACTCATGAATAGTATCTTCTTTTTTTTGAACAGTCACTCATGAATATTGTCAGCTTTGCTTGGTTGTTTTCTTATTTTAGCTTATCCACAAGCCTAAATAGGTACCGTTAAACTTGTGCAACACTTGGCTCAATGTTATTGGCTTGTTAAATGTTGAGGTAGGTGTCAAGGGGAAAAAAAGTTGACAAGTGACAGATTCTTTGTGCAAGCTTTTGCTCTAGTAATGAACTTGACTTCAGAAATATGGATGTCTGAAGTGGGTCATTTACTCATTTGGTTAGGCAGGGCTTGTGTATGAACCAAACATTGGCCAACCTAGATGAGTGATCTCAAATTGGGTTATGTTATGTTGTGTTGTGCATTTTTCTTTTTCTTTTTTTTGAAAAGTGTTGTGTTAGAGTGTCCGTGTCGTGTCGTGTGTTTGCTTCATAGTATTGCATAAACATGGGAGAATTTGATAGCTCTAAATTATTTCCAGAGCTGCTAATATGCCTTAATTGATTTGATAACCTTACTTTGATAGCTCTAAATTATTTCCAGAGCTGCTAATATGCCTTAATTGATTTGATAACCTTACTTTTTTGCATTCCAAATGTAAGGGTTGTATTGTATCTTTCACCATTGTTAGTTTTTTTTTTTGTTTCTATTCTATTTCTTATTTGTTAAGTTGTCTTATGTTCTAGTGCCAAACTGTATCCTGTAGAAACCTCATTACTTCTTTGACTAATGAACTTCTAAATTTGGAGCTTGTGATGAATACAAATTGTCCCCTGCTCACTTCTCAATCACATGGCAGTGTTTGGAAATTTCCTTGAAAAGATAACCTAATTCCTGTGGCCCCAATTATATTATAATGAATATGAACCTTTAATTCCTGTGTCCCCAATTATATCATAATAAATATGAACCTTTTCATTAGAATCATCATAACTAGGGTCAGTCTAGTAGTTATCTTAAATTCTCAATTCATATTCCTTTTATCCAAGGTGAAGCATCCTTATTATCTTCAGAGCCTAGAATGTCCTTTATGAAAAAGTTCCCATTTGGATTTGCTAAACTTATTTGAAGGTGCTTGTTTAGAGGTGTTGGATTATTATTATTATTATTAAAAAAGAAATAAAAAAATAAAAAAAACTGTGATTGTGTTTGGCAAAGGTTGCTGAAACTGGGTCATATGTGGAATTGCCACTTTTGTTTTGAGGGAAGTTTTGGAAGCTTATGGTTGCTAAAAACAGGTTCATTACTGAAAGTTTACATTTGGGTATGGTATTTAAAGCTTACAAGTGGAATGTCACTGGTTTGGGAGAAAACTTGTGCAACTGAGCTTGTCTATTTGTGTGAATAAGTTTAGTTTTCAGTACATGTTTTTGCAGACTTAGCACAATAGTGTATATTATGTCCATATATTCTGGTACAATTGAAACTTAGGTACTCTGCTCTTGCAAAATTTAGTTCTGATCTTTTTTCTATTTGTACCATTTGGGAATTTTTTATTTTTTATTTGAGCTAGAGAGTTAGCAATCCAAATTATTGTCATCAAAAGAAGTGTTTTTAGGGAAGCAAGGAAAACATTGTGGATCAAAGACCTGCTAAGGTTTTTTGACCTTACAACTGATTGGTCCAACCTAAGAGCATGAACATGATCCAATGAAGAAGTTAATGGATAGTAGATTTCATCTAGTACATATATAATTCATTCAAATTATATTAATTGAGTTTTTAAATTGGGTAAATATTAGTCATTGTCTTATGATTTGGCTTTCATTCACTTCTTCATATTTATATGCATCTAGGAGTTGGTCCTACCATTATGAAAACCTGTGTGCTGGTTTGTGCCTTTTGTTCATTAATTCATCATCTAAGAATGGTGGGTTACAATATTTTGTGATTTTCAGCTATTACTGTCAATAAGTTTATCATATTGGTGATTTGAGTGTTTTCCTTTCATATTGTTTTTCTTTTTTCAATGCTTTTTGGGTTGAATCGAATTTCTTTTGCCTCAGGCACCATGGTTGCAACGGGTGGACTCTTTGTTCTTTTCGTTTTGGGCACTAGCTGGGCATGTGATGCTAGAGAATTAATGACAACCGAACTCTCTAGTAGAGAAACGGTGATATCTGATGTTTCAGGTAGTTCTCTTTTTTCTTTTTTCCTCTTCCAAATTTATATAATTTTAAGATTTTAATGTTTGCAGTACATGATACTTAAGTATATATCCAAACAAATCAATGTTTCAGGCACCATGGTTGCAATGGTTGGACTCTTTGTTCTTTTCGTTTTGGGCACTAGCTGGGCATGTGATGCCAGAGAATTAACGACAACCGAACTCTCTAGTAGAGAGACGGTGATATCTGATGTTTCAGGTAGTTCTCTTTTTTCTTTTTTCCTCTTCCAAATTTATATAATTTTAAGATTTTAATGTTTGCAGTACATGATACTTAAGTATATATCCAAACAAATCAATGTTTTCTGGCTACAGTGTTGCAGATAAATCACCAGGAATCAGAAGGGATAATTAAAGCTTCAGAAGAAGTTGGAAGGAATGAAAATGTGTGCACGCTGTGTGAAGAGTTTGCTGCCAAGGCAATTGAGTACCTCGAGGACAACAAGACTCAGACGGAGATCATTGATATCCTTCACAACACCTATGCTCGGCTAATCCCTTTTGAGCAAAAGGTAGTAACTGACATAAATGCCATTGGATTTGAATAAACTTGTTTGTTCACCATAATCCCGAGCTTTAGGCACTGTCAAGTTTCTCATGCCTAATTTGTAAACACTAATAGAATTAATGAATACCCAATTACCCATTCTAGGTAGTTATTATTAGATAGTGGTGTTTTTCGGTGATTGCCACCAAAAACATCTGCAACCACATGATTTCAGCCTTCACTAGTTGATTGGTTATCTTGATCAGCAAGTGTTGAGATTCAAACTGTCTGTTTGCACGAATGGATCTATCATCTTTGTCATGTTGATTTGTATAAAAAATGAGTAGGTTCCCTTCATTTGAATGGCCCATCTTCTTCACATATGGTGATAATTGGAAGACTTACATCTATAATATTTTTTTGGCAGTGCATAACTTTGGTGGACTATTATGTTACTCTCCTATTCTCGGAGATTGAATTATTGCAACCCGAAGATTTCTGCCAAGCATTCTATCTTTGTGAACAAAGGGTACTCGCTTCTCAGTCACTAGCTGAGGATAAGTGTGAAATTTGCCATCTTGCTATTTCGGAAGTTATAGTAAAGTTGAAAGATCCTGACACACAGGTACATATACTTCCAATCATCAGCTGATCTCCAAGAAATACAATTATAAATTGTATCTTTCAATTTACAACTGCAAATTACCTTTGTGACTTTATTTTGTTCTTCAATGTGGATTTCATGTCTAAAACTCATTTCTATCTCTAGAACATTTTCTTTCTAGTTGAGGACGGTAAATGATATTGAGTGATAGTTCAAACCCGTTAATTTATCTTATATGTGTCTTGAAGCATAAATATTTCACAATCTATCTCAATGTACATGGATATTTAGTTTTGTTTTTGCCTTTTATTTCAGTTGGAGATAATTGAGCTGCTTCTGAAAGCATGTGATGCTGTGGAGAACTATGTCAAAAAGGTTAGAAACATTTTAGTAGCTTAAGTAAGATGAACAATCCATTTTGTGACTCCAATATATGCTCCTCTCTTTTTTTGATTCTGTTATTTCAATTCTTTGGGCAGTGTAAGACTCTGGTTTTCGAATACGGACCGTTCATCCTTGAGAATGCAGAGCAGTTTCTTGAATCAACAGACATATGCACTCTAATTCATGCCTGCCCTTCGACTTCCACTGGCGGCGAGCAAGCTTTATCACAATAGAGAAAACATCCCTGCTTTCTGTTTTGTAAAAAAATGCAAAAAAATGGACCTGGTTGAAAATGTCACAATGTAACAAGAGCAAATTGGTATATTCTCTTCTTTAGGGGTTTGCGTGCAATAATAATAAGGGTAAATTATATTAATCTCTCTTGAGGCTTGAAAAATATGTCTTGACCCATAAATTTGACATAATTATGTTAAGTTTTGATAAAATTTTAATTCACATAATATTTTTCATATTTTTAAGTAATTTATTAGTTGTATGAATGAAAAAAACGATGTCATATTTCATATTAAAATATATATTTTACAATTGTTTATCACTATGACCACACAAGTCACATCATTTGTATTAGTTTTGATTATTTTATTCTTACTAAAAGTAAAATAAAGGTAATTATGCTAAAATTAAATTTAGGAATATGAAAGGCAATGGGGGGCAACAAGGCGGATATTAATTTCCCGTTCTTATTCCCTGATCATAATTTTTCTCCATTCTTTATGGGAACTACCATTTTCATCTCCTAACGAATTTGAATTTTTCTCAATCTGACTTGACTAATTTTTTACTACTTTTTTTTGAAAAAAAAAATTATTATTCTTCAAACAATTTTATTTTTCCTAAAATTACATATATTTTTATTTTTTAAAATATTTTTTTATTAAGGAACTTATTTAAAAAAATTTAGAATTGATGGTATAAGTAATGTGAAAACATATGAAGAAATTGGTGAGTATCATTGTTGATGAAGATTTAAATCATGCGACTGACCTGATCCGAGGGGTAGAAAAACAAGAAAAATCCATATATTTTAGGTTGGGTTTGCATGCATAACTGCTGGATAAAGTCCATTCCTACATAGGTAGGGGCAGAGCCAAAACTCCGAGGTTGGGGGGCCACCTAACGCCACCTAAGAAGCATTTATGTTCTTTGAAATCTCTATGTTTTTATAATTGTCATTTTGTCATTTTTTTTATAATAGCAGTGGGCTTTTAAAATAGCTAATAAACTATTGGTTATTGTTTGATTAACTAGAATGAATAAAAATCTAACAATTATTTTATTAGAATATCTATTTTATATTTAGTTCATTAAAAAATGATATAAAAAGTATTATAAATTAAAAAGAGATTTATTAGAAAATTATTTTTTAAGTGTTTGTATCTCAATTAGTTTATAAGATATTTTTATATTTTAATAAGTCCTATTATTTGAACATTTGATTTATCAAATCCTAATTCTCATATTTAAGGTATTTTATGGACATTTCTACTCTTATAAATATTTTTTGAACGGTTAGTAATTTGGTGATGTGAACATTCATATTTTACAATGTGAATATTCACATTGACGTGCTAACATTCACATTGACAGTGTGAACATTCACATTGATAGTGCGAATATTCATTACCTTACAAATAAAAAGTATCCCTAAAAAAATTATCAATTATCATTATAAATAAATAATCATTTCAAAATAATGAAAAATAATGAATGACTATTCAATTTTATTCCACTTCAGTAAACCAAAAGTACCCTAATTTTTTTCTCACTTTTATTTGCCATTACCTTAATTGGTGAGTAATTATTTTTGATGATACCTAAATTGGCTTTCCACCCATTAATATTTGGGTAAATTATAAATACCTCCTTCGAGATTTTGCTAAATTATAAATACCCTCTCAAGTTTCAGAAATTACATCCCGTCCCCTGGAGTTTGTATTTTCATAACAATTTGTTCCCTGAGATTTATATTTTTCATAACAAATTACCCTCTAATTTATTATGTAAATATAACATTGAGGGAGAAATCAAATCTCAAGAAGTATCTGTAATTTAGCCAAATTTTAAAGAAGTATATGTAATTTGTCCTTAATATTTTGGCTTTCCCTTTAAAATTACAGTAATACTTGAGACCCCCAGGTGCGGGTGAACCCCACCACCCCCACTGCTTTTTTATTGGTTTATTTATTTATTTTTTTTTAAGTCTGGCTCTCATCTATTTTAGCTTAGCCTTTGTCCCTTTTGAAAGCCTACATACGGTGCATATTGGTGCAAACAAAGGAAAATGTCCCATCATTGATGATAGACAAAAAGAAAAAATATCAAAACTTGGAAGATCCAGCAAATTCGGAGGGCCATTGCATGAGTGCCATCAAAATATTTGAAGTCATCTACTGTAAAAAGGAGTGGTCAGTATAATTTATCCTAATAATAATTTAATTGCTGACCACAACTCATTAACTTGCTAGCCTGGAGTCTCATTTCCCCTGTTTGGAAAATTTTGTTTGCAGCATATTTAACTTTAAATTTTGATATTTCATACTTTCGTACTCATTAAATATTTGGTAGGATTTTTCAAGTTGTTAACTGATTTACCTTTTCAAGTAAAAAAAAATTTAAAATAAGCTAAGAATTTTTTATTATTATTATTATTTTTTTTATTTTTACAGTAGGATTCAAGATGTTTTTCTTAGATTGTGAGTAAGTTTTATCGAACAAGTTCAATCTGTTTATTTATGAATGTTGTTGCTCAAACTTATTCAAACTCATTTTATTTTATAGAATGAGATACAAATATGAAGACGGTGTTAAATTTTGCTTAGTCATACTTAAAAATCCAAACTGTTGATGGGTTGGTGAGAATGGTAGCTATGAATTTTTTAAATTCAGTTCTATACTTGAATAATGCTTCTAAAATTTGTAGTTTCGATAATCATACAAGTACATGAATCCAACCCAGTAGGTTGGATAAGATTTACAAATTGTTCTTCCATTGAAACAACTTCATTTAAAAAATTAATCCACTGTTAATTGGGCTGGGGGGCATAAATAAGTTTAAAACACAGATTACCGGAAAGTTAGGAATGTCATTTTTCATTTTTCTGATTATTAAAATTTTGATTACAAAGAGTTGCACCAAAAATCTTTATAATATAATCTATAATTACAATTTCGAAGCACCTCTTTCATACTTTTAGGCTAATTTATATAGGTTATATTACCTATCAATTATATGTAGTGATGATACAGTTTGTCCCAGTGAATGGATCGGACTGGTCCAAGCTCCTTAAGCCCTTGTCCAAGCTCCTCAAGCTCTCCGAATAACCTACAAACAAGTTCAACGGGGAACGGGGTAGTCCCCCAGTGAACCCTCCGACGAGCAAGTTAGGAATATGAGTGGAGTGTAGAGAGAGAGATTAGAGATAGAAAAACTTAGCATTCTTCTTGTCTTCAACGTTTGCTTATATCCTTTGATAATCATTTCGCTGTCCCTTCCGATCTGCCCTCCTCGCCGAAAGTCTATGCTGTAGCTTACCTTATTCAGGTTAAGGGGGTCCTGTTCCGACGGAGAAGTGTTGTCGTAATAAATGCTGTGATGGGCTGCATTAATGGTGATGTGCAGTGGCAATAACTTTGTAGATCTTTGTCTGCTGATGTGGCTCGTCCTTCTCCTGCCGTGTGTCTGAATGTCATTGGCTCTTTATGCTATGTTGGACTCCAGTTGTCCTGGACCTCACCAGCTGGGTTATGCATTAGGCTCCAAGTGATGGGCTTGAATGGTCCATAGGTGATTTGTGGCCTTTATGGGCTTATACACGTCAGTAGTCCCCCATTCCCGAGTGCAGCTTTAGTCTAACGAAGGGCATATGAATGAAGTAGATGAGTGTGTTAGGGATTGGCAGGATAGAGGTCGACCGGCAGGGGTGATCGAGGGGGTGAACCGACCGGGAGATGGTCCGATTGTGCAGGGCGACCGAGTGGAAGGACCGATCACGGAGAGGATCGACCGCAAGGTTGGCCGAGTGGGATGGTTGACAACAAGGAGGGCCGACTGCGAAGGGGGGGCCGAGCGCGGTGGTTGGCCGAGCGGGAGGGTCGACTGCGAAAGGTGAGGTGGAGGGGCGTGGAGCTCGAGACGCGGCGTGTCACGTGGTGATTTGAAGTGGAAAAGATAGGGTAAGGGGAGGGGAAAGTGGATCGTGGTCGTACACGTGGCAACATCCCGTGGGGGGGGAGATTAGACGTTAGATCAGAAATGAAACGATAGGTCATTATGGGTGTTGAAAAGACAGTTTTGGCGGATGATTTGAAAAGTTTTCAAACTGGCGAAAATTAATTGGGATCCTTGGAATACGGGTGAACCGTGGGCTTTTGGCATCGTCCGATTCACCTACTTGTTTACACAGAACCAAAACATTCCAAGTGTTACTTCATTTGTTGCTCACGATACACTTCTGCAGCACTTCTTCAATTTCCTTGCTCCTACATCGGAAGCGATTCGCAGACATACCATAGAAATGGCGCAAAAAGAAGCTGTGAATGTCAGGGTGGATCCACTGGGCGATGATGATGCGGTGGAGTTAGCGCAGCAATACAGGATGGAGAGGGTAGGGGAGTTGATTGTACGATCCCATGGTTCCACCATGATAGCAGCTCCAAAGCCAATCAACCAGGAAGAACCTGATCATTGGCACACAAAGGCAGATAAATCAATAGTCACTGCAGCGGATTTGGAGGCTATTCGCGAAAAATACCAGGTGCCTGCTGAAATAGAGTTGTCGTTGCTGATGTCGACGGAGAGGCCATCCGATGCCAGGCTAAGGCAATTTGCCCTTTATGAGGAAGCATTGAAATGAGGACTGAGGCTGTCCCTGCTGCAGGTGGTAGTAGATGTCCTAAATCGTTTGGAGGTGGCGCCGGGCCAACTAATGCCCAACGCGTGGAAGATCTTGCTGTCCTGTGCAAGTGCCTGGCCGAAGGCGAACGAAGGGGTGGCCATGACAGTGGACGAATTCTTCGCGTGCTACAAGGCCTCAGGGCAGCAAGAGACTTGGGTCACTCTGCAAGCAGCAGCAGGGAAAGGGCTGGTGGCGGGGTTGCCGTTGTCGATCAAGGGGTGGAGACCACGGTGGTTCTATGTGTCTGCCAGTAGAGGAGTTGGAGTGCGCACCATTTGGAAGGTACCCACCAAGTCGATGGAGCCAAAGTTGGGGACAGCAACAGAGGAGAGGGTGAAGAGGGTAAAGGAGTGGAGGGAGAAAGAAGGGGCCAAATGGGATGAGCTCGTTCAGCCGTCTGCATTGTTTAAGGCAGGGTTGGGTCCACAGCCAAGCGGTGGGGACCTCGACCGTGTGGAGTTGGAAGCGAGGAGGAGGGCTCAAGAGGCGGAGGATCAGACCGTCCTTGCGAAAGCCCAAAAATTCTAAGAGTCCCAGGCC